TTTTTCACCTTAAGTTAAACAGTGTATTTTTGTTCGCAATAAACTTAATCTATATATCTATCTTATAACTTAATTTATCTTTTATTCGATATGAAACGATTATTTAAATTATTTTTATAAAGATTTTAATAGTGAAAGATTTTTGTAAAACATTTCTTGTAAACATTTGTTTTGTAAACATTTGTTTTGTAAACAATATCGTTCGATGAAATTTAAATCTAGTTCTCAAAAAATCATACGTTTTTTAAATCTACGATTCGCCTTAAAAATTACACTCATATCTTACTTCGCACGATAAAAGTTAAATGAAATTAAAATCATAAGTATTTCATAAGTATGAAAATGATTTTCGTAATGATAAAAATTTAGATATTTGTATCATAAAATTAGTTTTTTTAACGGGTAACCAATTATTTAAATATTCTATCGTTTTTTTTTTTATAATTTTTTTCTGATTAATCATATCTTCAATATAATCAATGAAAAAGTATTGATATATAAGTTTGGAAAATATACTTTTTTATTCTAAAAATTTATATATATTACATAATACATTACATTATATAATCTTACAAATCTTACAAATCTTACAAATGAAAACAAACATTTTTGATATCCTAATGATAATGTTTGGCACTTTTATAAATCGTAGTATTTTGAATATATAGCGAATAATCGAATAGATTATTGTATTGTCTATCTTGAAAAATAATAACAATAAAAAATAGTAGCACAATATTGAAATATCTAATATATGATAATGAAAAACATCCCCTATATATAAAGCTTTGACGGCAAAACTACAAAAAATTCTAGTTGTCCGTGATAATTTATTTTGAAAATTTCGCAAAACGACTGAAAAAACTGACAAATATTCATATAGAAATTGCAATTACAAGTTACAATTCTTTTTTAAAATCTATATATCTCATGTGTACTGGATAACATTTAGCGAATGCAAAAGAATTTATAAATTATTGAATATATAAAAAAATATATACAAAAATTTCATGGTTTTTTATTTTTATGCTTTGTAAAATGACTTTTATAAAATTCAATATTGTCATTGAAATTTTGCAATATTATCTATAATATTAATAATTTATTCATAGAGAATAACAAATTATATCATATCTTCATTTATAAAAAAAGTTACATTTCCATGCAAAGAATTTTAATTTTTTTTATTTAATTTTTTATCAAATATTTATTAAAATATAAATATTAAACTATAAATAATAATAAATGTTGTAATTATAATAAACTATATAATTATAATAAATTATGCAACAATAATATAATATATTATCTTTTATTTTTGATATAAGAATTTGATATTGTATTGAATCTATAAAGATCAACGATAAAAATAAGTAAAAAATTAAATTGAAGATATAATTAAAATAATTAAATTAAAGATTAGAGAGATAAAAAATGAGAAAAAAATATTAAAAAAAATTAAGAAATGAATATTAAATTAAAAGATGAAAATAAATTGTAGATGATATAATTTTCAAAAATATTCGAACGTTAACGATTAATTTATAGCTTTATTAATTATGTAAAGATGAGCTGAAAATTTTTATATTATTTCTTTTTGATTGTATAAATATATATTGGATGTTTCAAAAATATAAATCCATTAAATTCCTAAGATAGTTTCAAATATTATTTTTGTAAAATTTTTTGTTAACGAATTATTAAAAAAAAACATTAGTTAATCACAGAGTGCATAATTTAATGGAACTGTTGGCTACATGTCAAGCATGAACAAATCCAAACAAAATATGTTGAAGAAAGTATATTAAATATTATAGTTCATAATATAATTTTTTATCAATAAAAAGATATTAGTTATATTCACATGAACAGATACAGGATGATATTACGTGAAGCCATTTTTGAGAAAAAAATTTAGAAGATTTTTAGAATTGTATTTTTTAGAAATATTTTAGCGTGATTTTGAACATTTTGGATCTTGGGATTTGAGATGATATTTTCTAGCACTTTCTATTTCAAAAACAATTAGTAACATCTTACTTGAGAAAAATTATTACAATTTGCAGATCAGAACAGAGGACTCTGAAAATATATAATTTTTCAGCATAATTCTAAGAACTTTGTTTAAATTGAGGATCACTCAATCAGGAGATTGATTCACAGTGTCATTTTTATATTTTATTAAAGACGATTTCGTGCCGTTTTAAAGGGCATGATTATTTAGTTAATTTTTAAAATTTCGAAAATCATAATTTTTCAAATTTTTAAATAAGTTCAGATTAAGAGAATTTTTATTTATTAAATCATTAGAACAATTTGAATTATTTGAATTTTGTAATTTCGATCTAACAGAACTTTTAAAACTTCGTAAATTTAGTGATAAACATAAACTTTTATTTTATGTTTAGTATATAAATTTTACTTTTAATCATTTAAAATAGAACTTTAATAATAGCGAACTTTTTAATATAATATCAATTTTATTATTATTGTACTATACTATAGCTTCATAAATGAGTTAAAATTAATATAACTCGATTGCGTTGCTCGATTGCATTAGCATTTAGAATTAATAATTCATTAAAAAAATTCATAACGAAAATTGTTGCAAAGAAAAATGTTTAAAATTATTTCAAAAATCATTTTGTGTTAATAATTCATTAATAAAAATTTATAACAAAAATTTTTGCAAAGAAAATTGTTTGAAATTATTTCAGAAATCTCCAGTTTCTTAACTGGTATGAAAACAGTTGTTTTAACATTTTTGGGATCTTGTGTATATAAATATCTATTATATAAATATATATAAGTTATTTAATTTGATATAATAAAATAATATTAAAAATTGAGTAAATTGCCATAGCTGTTTTACAAAAATTCGGGAATTTTAAAAATTTATAATAAAATAATTAAAATAGCAATTTTTTATGAGAATTAAATATTGATTTTGATATCTTCTTAATTCTATATTATGTTTTAATATCATGTTTTAAATATTTTAATGTATTATTTTTTGTTAACAATGCTATCTTTTATATATTTTTTATTTCGGATGAACTTTTTTTTAGTATATAATGTTATTTTTTATCCATTTAATAGTTTAATTTTTTATATGAGAATATTCGTGCATACTCGTTGCCTAAAATTTGTTTATTATTTCGGTTTATCTTCTAATCTCAGATATTAAATTATCAAATTTTTCATTTTTAGTTTATAAATAAATCAACAAATTTTTTTTTTTAATTATTTGTATTTGATTTTATATTCTATTGTAAAATCAAATATATATGCTTATAATATTATAATATATCTTGATATATAAATATCAAAAAAATGAAAAATCTAATTTATATTTATTATTATTTAAGCATTAGAGAATAAATCGAATTAAAGTAGTAAATTGAGTAATTCATTTTGAATTTGTAGGAATATTCAAAGAATATACAATACTTGAAATAATGATTGATTGAATTTATTTGTTTTATATATATTTATAATTTTATACATATCTGCGTTATTGAAAATATATTGTGATGTTTGCAATTATTTTTAATTTTCAATGAATGTATTTTAACTGTAACTTACTTGAATTTTGAGCATTAATGTTCAATTAAAAAATTTATTCAAAATTATCATATTAATAAAACAAAATTTCTTAAATTCATAGAAAAAAATTCTTTGAAGTATTTATAAATAATTTATATTTAATGTTTTAAAGTATAGAAAAATCATAGAAAATCAATAAATGATTACAAAAAAAGAGATTAATCATTATCTTTAAAGAATTTCTCAAACAAAAATTTATAGATTCTTAATTAAATGTTAATTTTTTTATTAATTTTAATTTTTTAATTAAATATTAATTATTCGATAAATATGCATCCAAAAAATGTAGCTCATTCAAAAAGAAATTAAATTAAAAGAATAAAGAAAAGATAAAATAAATTATTCAAATAAAGTAAACAAAGCAAAATTAGATTTGCTAGGTTTGTATGATATGTTCGACAAAAAAAATTTAATTTAGAGGATCTGGATAATTTTCTATATTATTAGCATAATCTGCGTGATCAAAGAAAGATAAAAATTATTGAAAAGATAATATAAGAAAAATATCTGCATTTGATTGTGATAAAATCATATGATTTCTACGAATATAGTAAAATATAAAAAATGATTTGAATATGTATAAATTAAATGAATATAGAATCAGAATTAATGAAATAACTTTGATCTTCTAATAATGTCCCAAAATATCATTTAAATATAGTTTCATTTCATTTAAATTTAGTTATTTAAATAAATATAGTTAAATAGCAATAGCATATAGCAATTAAAATATAGTTTCAAATAGTAAATATTAAAATTTTTCATAAAATTATTATTCAAGATATATTAATCTCGGTAATTTCAAGCATCTGAATCAGATTATGCGGCGGAAAATCCGTCTTGCGATATGTCCAAGAACAAATCCTTTCTCCAATATATATCGCGCCTACGAGCTATATATCTAACATGGATAAGGATGACTTATTTCCCAGTAACTCCAATTCCTCGAATTTCATTTGTAATTTTCTTGCTATCTTGAAAATTGGAAAGAAGATTCGAATTAATAATATTAGATTAAACATAATCGTGTTAAAAATCGACTCTCGTGCAAACATTTAAATTAGAACTTTAGAACATTTCTAGATTTATAAAACATAGTTAACATTTGCTCATGCATATTCATGTAAAATTTTTTGACACTTATCTTAAAAACATTTAGACTAAAACTAGAGATTTTAGTCTTTAGATTTAAAACACCTAGAATAGTTTCTATGTTATTTTGTATAATATTCGCATTTTTGTATTAAAATATTTTGTACAATAAACTACTAAACATAATTCAGTAAAACTGAATTATTTTATTTCTCTAATGTAAAGTGATTGTTAGCGCTAAAAGAATCTTAGCCAATACCACATGTAATCAACTCTGAAAAATTCACAAGATCAATTACAAGAAGTCTACATAATATTAAGAAATAAAGACAAAAAGAGTGCATTATTAATAAAAAATAATTTTTAGCATTTTTTAGATCATTTAAAACATATTATAGAACTAAAAAAATATCAAATTAATATTTTATCAATTAATATTTAAAAAAGTGTTATTTTAATTAAATAATTTTTATTTAAATAATATTTAAATAATATTTAAATATTTTTATAATAGAAAAAACAATTGATTTTACTTAATTTTTATTATTTAATTATATTAAATTAATTAAACTTGTGCATATTTGAAAATAGATATAATAATATTCTATTGAAAGAAATAACTAGAGTCTTTTTTTTTCCATAATTAATAAAATATAAATTGTTAAAGTTAAACATACAAATATTTTTAAGAACCATTGTATATCTCATGATATTTTTTTATTTAAAATAAGTATCTTAAAAAACTTATTCTAATCACAACTAATTTTTTAATTTTCAATAAATTCACTTTATTATTTGTATATTCTACATGCAGGTACATGGATTTAAATATTCATAAATTAATACTATTATTTGTCAAGCAACAATAAAAAATGCCTCATTAAAAATATTCAACCGGAGTAAATTATTTTTTCGAAGAATTTATAATATACAAAATGCGAAATTAAATCCAAAAAAACTAATAATTAAATAAAGTTGAAATTCGAGGAACAATTGATTTATACCAACTTGATTGAATTTTAAAGTTAAGCTAATATTAATATTAGATTGGCTAGAACTACATAGTAAGAAGACTAACCACTAGTAATATTTTTCACTTTTATTTTCATGCCAGAAGTGGAGCGATGTAATCTTATCATGGTACGTATCAAGCATCCAATGATAAAATACGGAACATATTGTATGTGAAAAATCTTATAGATATCTTATAGATAGTAAATCTTATAGATAGTAGATAATCTAGAAATGAATATTTTAATGTAAGACAAATATTCTAACCATGACGAATTTGGATTCAAATAGATAAAATATATGGATTTTTTTTTTTTTGGAAATATAAAAATAAAATATAAAACAAAAGTTAATTGTAAAATTAAAATTACAAGGATTGAAGACCAATTTTATAATAATAACAATATCAATATCATATTTAATATTGTTATATAATATCATATTTAATATAATTTAATATCTATTGCGTAACTTTATTCAATTTATATTTATTATATATTATTATATATTTATTATATTTTATTTTCGCATTTTGCGAATCTAAAAGATTTTTGTATCGAGTAATACATTTTAATATTTAATATTACATATTAATTTTTACATATTTACATGTTAATAATTATATATATGTTATATTAATTATAATAATATTAATCGTATAATAATATTAATAATATTAATTATAATAATATTAACATATTAATTAATAAGACATGTTAATATTTCGGAAACTAATAAATATTTAAAGCTAAAATTGTTTTTTAAAATTTCATTTCATTATTATCGTTACATCATACCATACTAGTTATTTTTTATTTTTTCAAATTTTCAAAATAGACTAATTTTCAAAAAAATCGTCAAGAAATAGGATGAAAAGAAAAGAAAATAAATTTTTCCCATTATGATTATTGGAAAATATAATCTATTGAAAATCTATATATATATTATCATAATTTTATTAAATAGATATTTTCAATAATAACAAAATTGCCTTGCATATGCAAGTTTAAGCATTCAATTTGCCTCAATGCAAGATATAAAAAATACATAAAATATTTAAATTGAAAAAAATATAAATATTTAGATTTATAGTATATATCTTTATCATTTGATTCTGGACGCTAATGTAAATTTTTATTAATTATTAATATAATTGAAATAAATATATAGAAAGAATATTGGTATTTTGGTATTTTTTTTTAAAACTAACCTAATTAAAATTAAAAAAAAAATTTTAAATTTAAATTGCATTTCTTTCTTTATGAAAATGAAACATATAATTAATTATAATTTTTAATATAAGTTAAATAAATAAAAAATAAAAAAAAAGATAACAATTATTGGAATTTTATAGCGAATTATTATTTATAATAATATTTATAATAATGGAAAGATTTCGATTATAATATTATATATAAATGATTATCATAACCATTATAAAATAAAAATTTTGCAATTCGATATAACGTTTTTTTGAATCTCAAAATTTCAGTCAAATAATTCTATATTTGTTTGTATATTATAATGTTTATCTTATTATAAAAGTTTAATGAAATTTATTTTATAATTTACGCTTAAATGTTTATAGTTCATAGCAAAAATTCGCTCAATTGTATTTGCATTAACATTTACCTTATGTTATACGTAAAAATTAATGCCGAGATTTTTTTATAATATGATATGCTGTATATATATCGAAAAGTTTAGAGAAGATAATGAATATATGATATTTAAATCAAATATTAATTAAGTATGCATTAATTTTTAAATTACAATCTCTTTTCATATATTTTTTGTTTATTATATAAAACATTTATTTATTAATTATAAACAATTTGTTTATTATATAAAACATTCTATTTCAATTTCAATGAATCATAATTTCAAAGATCAAATTTTATCTTGTTTATTTTTATATTTCGGATTTCTAATCTATAATTATTTTGCGATCAATTAAAAAAATCTATAATTTCATTTTATAATACTAAGTCTATTTTTATTCTTTACAATGTGATATGGACGAAAGTTTGTTATTTATTAAATATATTTATGAATAAAATATATAAGGTAATCTAAAGATATATAAATAGTTGATAAAAAACAAACGTATGCTACAACATACATATATTGTCATGGCATAATATAAACAAAATGTTATGTAGCTATCCTTTTTTTTTTACAAATATATCAAAAATTAAGACTGGGTAGAGATTAAATATATAAAAAATTGTTCAAAATATTAAGTTCTACAACAAAATTATAACGAAATTGATAGATAATATTAGGATGTCCTATAAGTTTTTTTCTTTTTTTTTGATACGAAATAAATACACAATATTTGTTGTCTAAGGTTTATTTATTGTGTTATATATGAACCATTCTGCTCTATCACCTTCTTCTATCTCTCAGGAAGCCTCATTATTCCCTTTTTCCAAAATTATTGGGATTTATTTGCAAAATATTTCTCGAGGTGCATTTTTATTTTACTTACGGAACCGTTTATCGTGAAAAGAATTTTTTAATAAAGAAAAAAATAATAATCTAATAGAATAAAATTTGGGAAGTACAGAACATGCGATAAAATGTCTCAATCAAACTGTAACAGTTTTTTTCTTACAGCCAATGTAACATATGGTTTTGCATTGTCGTAATGACCTCGTTGGTTTGCCAATTTTTTTTCTATGGCATCTTTCAATTTATCAAGCTGATTACAATATTTTGCAGAATTGAAAGTTTTACCTTGAGAAAAAAGTTCATAGTAGACTATATTTTTTCAATTCCACCAAATGAACAAAAGAATTTTTTCGGATGAAGTTCAGGCGACAGTTGAAGATCTATTATTTTTAAATCCTTAAATAAATGTATGTTTTCGATGTACATTTTGATAAAATCCAAGTTTCATCTTCAATGATAAGCCTCTTTAAAAAAAAATCTTTTTCATGTTGCTGAAGAAGAACATCGCATGTAGAGATTTATAAAGCCAGTCTCAATAGCTGTAGAACTCAAACTTTACATCAATTAACATATCCCATCCTGATCAGATGATTATGTACTATTACCTTGGGAATGTTAATGGCATTCACTATCTCACGCACACTGTATTACGGATTTTCAGTGAGCATAATTCATAAGTATTCATAAAATCTGTCGCTGCTAAGCAGTTGTGGCTTTCATCTTTCAAGTCAAAATTGCTAGCTCTAAATCTTTTAAACCAATTGCGGATAGTCGTAATAGTTATAGCACCACTCACGTAAACAATACAAATCTTGTTTGCAGTATCATTTGCACTATCATTTTTTTTAAAGCAATAAAGCATAATATGCCGCAAATGCTTCCTTTGATTATCCGTATTGAACGGTGTAGATAAAAGTTTTAAAAGAGACAAAACATGTGTCAACGAAATATATTTTAAAAGAGCAAAACATACTTTAAAACAGGCTGAAACCAATACCATAAACGGCTCATAGATAAGCCTGTATGTTCATATAAAAATAATCATTCCTAAAAAAAAGTATGTCATTTCTAACGTAATGTTAAAAAAAACTTATAATATAATATTTTTTCTATATAATTATCAAAGAAGGAAATTAAATAAAGATTTAACGAACTTCTAAACTAATTACTTTTTTATTGATTTCGATATTATAGTAAGTTTTAAAAATTAATATTTTGAATTTTTTTTTTCATGAAAATGTGAAATTTTTTTAATTTTCGAAATATTCATAAAGCATTTTAATTATTTTTTTAATTAATTTCATTTATATATGTGCACTTTCCTGCATTGCATGCATATTCGCAATTGCTATTTATCAATTGTTTACATAAATATACAACAACTGATACTGAAAATGTATAATAAAGTTAATATCACCACATATACATTAATATCTATCCATAGAATTGGAAATGGAATTAAGATATTTTAAACCCAAAGTCCATTAGGAAGTATAACTTTCCGATTAGTTCATCTTTTACATATTTTAAATAACTGATGAGGTATGTTTATATATCATTGTAAATAAATATCGTTATGTCTTGATTGCATACTAACACATATATATGATAAGTATATATATTTAAATGAATATAATTGCATTTTTTACAAATAATCTTAAAAATTAAAAAAAGTAGATATTTTCGAGAAAGAAAAAAAATATACAAAATTTCAATTTCTATACGTATTTAAAAATCATTAAAAATAATAAAAGAATAGTTTTAAAAGTAATAAAAGAATAGTAAGAATAGTTAAATCTAAATAGATTTATTTAAGTAGACCTAAGTTTACGCAAATTTCTTTCATTTTTAATAATTATTAAAATAAATTATTTTGTTACTATATTTTTACGTATTTTTAATTAATTTTATTTATATATATTATAAAATGCATTTTTATATTTATAAAAAAAATTTTTTATATTTATAAAAAAATTTATAGAATTTATAGAAAAACTTATAAAATTTTATATATTTTTATATTTTTATATTTTTCATAAATATACGAAAATTCATAATTTAATACTTCAATTTCAATGATAATTTAATTCTAATGTGCACAAAAAGAAGCTAATATATATTAACATAATATATATTATGTTATTTAAAATGTTGATTTCTTAACAACAATATCAAAAAATCATCGAAATTTAAAGATCTCTGAATTCTGAATATTTAATCAGAAATATAGATATATAGCATTATGTATTTTTAAATTAATA